GACGGGAACTGGAGAAAGATGTACCATCTTGCTCAGCCGACACACGAACACCAAAATTCCGGTGTTGCCGTGTCCGTCGGCGGGAAGCCCAAAGATGAAGTCAAGACTCATTGACTTCCAACAATCAGCCGGTACGGGCAGGCGCTGTAGTGGAGCCGAAGAGTGCCCTGCGGGTTTGACCCGCTGACATGTTTCGCATGTCTTGACGTATCGGTCGACCCACTTGTACATGTGGGTCCACCAGAAGGACTGAGAGACCGACAGAAAGGTCTTCTCGCGGCCCAAGTGGCCGCTGGAGGGCGCGTCATGCGCCTCCGCGAGGATGTCGAACTTCAGATCCTCGTCGTTGGGTACGACCACCCGTGGAGGATCAGTGGGCTCCACCCGATAATAGAGGAGGCCCTCCTTCAACTCATATCGGTGGAGCCGTGAGCGCTGTCGCGACGAGAGCCAGTCGGACTTCGCGCTCGTTCCGGCCTTAAGGAGCTTGACGATAGGCGCGACAGCCTCATCGTCCCGATACGCCATGCGTATCCGATCATATAGATCCGTTGTCACCCGCGTGATGTGGGCCAACTCCTAGTCGGGACGCCGAGAGAGGGCGTCCGCAAGCACGTTGAGCTTGCCCGGCTTGTATTCGACGCGGAAGTTGTATTCCGCGAAGAAGGACAGCCACCTCGCCATCCTTTGGGAGAGGTGAGGCGAGTTAGTCGCCGTCCTCAAGGACGCGTGGTCTGTGTAGATCACAAAGGGCCTAGAGCCCAGAAGGTGAACACGGAACTTCACAAGGGCATATTTCATTGCCAGGAGCTCCTTGTCATGGACAGGGTAGTTCCGCTCGGCGGCTTTGAGCTGCCGGGACTGGAACGAGATGACTCGTTCCTGTCCAGCCGTGTCGTCCTGCAGCAATGCACACCCGATGGCGTAATCGGAGGCATCGCAGACGACGCTAAATGGCTTCGTCTCGTCCGGCAGAGCCAGGACAGGGGCCTCTTGGAGACTGGCCTTGATGCTGTCAAACGCATCCTGGTGCTCTTGTTCTCAGCGCCAGTCGACGTCCTTCTGAAGGAGGCTCGACAAGGGCTTAGCGAAGCCCGCGTACCCAGCGCTGTACTTGTGAAGGTAGTTGGCCAAGCCCAACCACTTTCGAAGATCCTTCTGGGATCGAAGCGTCGGCCATGCTGCTATAGCCTTGACCTTGTCTGGGTCAGCCCGAACGCCCACGTTGCTGACGAAGCAACCGAGAACTTTAATCTCTGGTGACGCGAAAACGCACTTGTCGATGTTGGCGTAGAGCTTGTTCGCTCGCATCACGTCCAACACTCGACGGAGGTGTCCTAGATGCACCTCCATGGTCGTCTTGCCTCCCTCGGCACGGCTATGGACGAATATGTCGTCGAAGTACGTCTGTACGAAGGTACGCAAAGGGCGGAACAATTGCGTCACCAGGCGATTGCACGTCGCCGGGGCGTTAGACAAGCCCTGCGGCATGACGAGCCACTCCCAAAGCATGCCGCTTGGAGTGCTTACCGCGGTGAGCGGGATGTCACTCTCTCGCATCAGGATTTGGTAGTATCCGTCTACCAAATCCAGCGCACTGTACAGTACGCTCCCGGCCATGTTGTTCAACAACACATCCTTTCGTGGGATCGGTGTTTGGGCCGGCACCGTTGCGTTGTTCAGCTTATTATAAGCGTGAACCAGACGCCACTTTCCGTTCGGCTTCCGAACGCAGAAAGTCGGCGTCGAGTGCGGGGATTTCGATTCCCGCACCATGCCTGCCCTCGCTTTCGCGGCGAAGAAGGCATCAATGACCTCGCACTGTTCGCGCAGGAGAGGCCATTGCCTCGTGACACAATACTTTGTGCCGGGCACGAGATCAATCTCGTGCCGTACGCCTCGATCCGGTGGGAGTTGGGTCGGTGGGTGTTTGTTCACCACGTCCGCATACTCCGTCACCAAAGGATACACCGGATCCTTGGGGTTCTTGAGAATCTCAGAACCCAAGCGCGCCTGACGCTGCTTGTTCATGTCTTCCAGGACGTTCTCGTCCAAGACAGAGGAGGAGTTCAGCTCCTCCTGAGTGGTCTCAGGTCTCATGAGTACCATCTCAGCAATCTCTCCAGCCTTGAGGTTGGCCAGGAAAGACTCAGCCGTCATTTCCTCGAGGTTCAGTATCTCCGCAACCTCTGGCAACGGCTCCAAGTGGACACCAGATGCCTTGACGGGTAAACCTGTCTCGCCATCGAAGATGTGATAACACTCTTCCACCGGCCTTGTCGGAGGAGCCCGGGCCCTGGACTCCGAGTCGCTTGAAGCGACGTCGATCGGAACGAAGTTCGGATCCGACTTGAGGCGGCGGCGGTGTCTTTGCCGACGGCGTCTGTGACGAAAAGCTTTGTTGCCCACGTCCAGGGATGTCGTCGCTACGACATCCGAGGCACTCGTGGCCTCGTGTGATACTGTTGTACCCACACAGGAAGCGTGCTCAACGCCTTCCTCTTCAGTTAAGGTCTGGGCGGCCGCGTGTGGCACTGTGTTACCCACACAGGAAGCGTATCCGACGTCTTCCTCTTCAGTTAAGGTCTGGGCGACCGTGAGTGGAACTCTGTTACCCACTCTGAACACGCTGTTCTCAGTGTTCATGACAGCTGCAGCTGTCTGCGGAGCTAAGTTACCCGCCTGTGGACCTAAGTTACCCACTTGGCCGATGCCTCTTCTGGGCGCGGCCACCATCAAAACATCCTGGGAGTCGTCATATACGTCGACGACTCCCAAGCATCTGCCGGATGCTTTGGTACCCTGGCAGCCCTCGCGGGCGCCCCGGGTCCTGACAGAGGTGGGAACATGACTCACCAATTCTCTGTCGGACTGCGCAGGGCGGCTGGCACCGATTGCCTTGCCTCGCCAGTCGATCCAGGGCTCGTGCTTCTCAAGCCAGGGCATGCCCAGGATCATATCATATGGATCCATATCGAGAACAGTGAACTGTTCGAGGCTGTCAAAGTCTTCAAACTTGACAGCCAGATCCACTTGGACGTTGGGGACAGTGACGACCTTCCCGTCGGCCAGTCGCACTGACACCGTCCCGTTGCCCTTGCTTTCTCTCAAAGCTTCGGACAACTTGTTGCTGTTACGAGCAACCGTCTGACGGCGTGCGAAATTCTTCGACGCCCCAGAGTCAATCAAGATTCTAAAGGGATGATCGTATCCCCGTACACATCCGTGTACTACGAGCAACCCGCCGCTGCTCTTCGCCGATTCGAGAGTGCGAAGACTCTCAGGGGCTAAGTCCCCGTGGTACGCGCCACCCGCGCACCCATCACGAAGACTTAGTTCTTCCCCAGTAGGGCGCCCCGCCCCTACTTGTTCCCTGCGTTCCCCTGTACCCGGGATCCTGGCTTCTGCCAGCGACCCTTGAGGACGAGCTTGGGGAAGGACCGTCTGCGGAGTCTTTCCGCGGGACAGTCGCGCTTGAAGTGGCCCATCTTCCCACAGCCGAAGCAGCGGATGTCACGCTGTTCGGCGGACCCGAGCTCCATGGGAACTGGGCCGTTGGGGCTTGTTTGACCGGGAGCCGACAAGGAGCTCCCAGGCCACGCTGAGGCCGGCGTACGCGCCTGGCGATGGCTGTACTCTTCTTGAAGAGCCACTTGAATCGCCTCTTCAAGGGTGCTTGCCTGCACCCGGAACAGCTGAGTGCGTGCGGGGCCCACTCGAAGGCCGTCCATGAACACAGTCATCTTGATGTGTTCATTGAGTGGGTTTCCCACTAGGGACGCCGTGAGCTCCCGTATCTCTTGCACATACTCGTGCAGTTCGCGCCTTCCTTGTTTACACGCGAGGAAGCGCGAACGCTGGCGGTACTCGTAGTTTGCCGGGAGGAACGCGGCTCGGAGCTGTTCGCACAGCTGAGCCCAGGATGTGAAACATCCTGGGGATGCCAGGATGTGAAACATCCTGGGGATGTTGCTTCCCGAGTGTACACCCAACTCTTAGCACGACCGCTAAGGTTGGAGAGTGCAAAAGCAACACGCAGTTGCTCGGTCGAGATCAGAGCCGCGTCCATCGCGAGCTCTACTTCTCGGACCCAGATATGAAGGTTCTCGCCTTCCTTCCCTTCATACGGCTTTACCTTCAGCCGTATTGGCTTCGGGTGAGGCGGATTTGCTTCCGCCGCCGGAGCCTGCAGGTTCTCCCGCACATGCGCGATGAGGCCCTGCTCGTACGCGTCGAATGCATTGACGCGCTCGAGCTGCTCAGCCGGTGTTGACACCACCAGGCTCTGCAGGGCCTCCATCCCGAAGATGCCTGCCATCTTCCGAACCGACTCGAACTGAGAGTCGTTCAAATGGGAGAAGTCGTTCCTATCCATGGCAGCGAGCTTCGGAGGTTCAGGTAGTCTACCCGCGATGGCGTGGATTGACTACAAGTACTACCAAGTGTGACGGGGTCACACAGCACCTTGCGCAAGAGGAAGTTATCTTCCGAGAGTATACAAACTCTCAGTGAACGGCAGTTCACAGGTCCCCTCTTTTATTAAAGAGAGCGAAGTGACCCAAATAAGGTAGATTGTAAACTGAGTATATTTATAGGTAGATTAAGTTTGGGTTTAATACAAACTGTTAGTTACCTATAGAAATGCAATGTCATTTAACCAATGGTTGGCTTTGAACGACCTTGGTACCTTGTACCAGATATCTCGGAGTATGACGTGTCATACTCCTGAAGTGTGAAGTGTCACACTTCATGTAACCAGGGTACACTTAGGGCTACGTACCCCGTTACAATATCGCCCACATAAGTTATGTAGAAATACATATTGTTTTCGTCAAATTTGCATTTCACAGCTAACTTTAATTAAAGGAATAAAAAGAAATGAAAATCAAATAATTTCACAATTGAAACCTATAAAAATTCAGCAGATTGCTTATTGACATCATTTAATTCTTAAAGCAATATTGCTGTCTTTGCCTATCTTAATTCGTTCTTTGCACGTAATGCCGCCCAAGACGGACTCACTGTTCCGCTGGATCGAGGAACGCGAGCACCACGATTCCTCCATCTCCCCCTGGGGCCGTGTCCTCGACGCAGGCACCGGTCGCCACTCGCTCTCGTGGCTGCTACATGGCGGTGTGTCCTCCCTCATCGAGGAGGTGGTCGCTGTGACGGGGGAGAAGCCTCTTGCCAACGATCTTTCGGCTGAATATGATCCCAGCAAGACACCGCACGCGACTCCGTTCAAGGTTCACGCTGGCAACTGGCAAAATGCGACTTTCTTGTCTAATGAGAAGCCGTTCGACATTATAATCGCTGGTAATTTGTATGCTGGATCCACCTTTGAAACAGCGTGATGATGAGTGGAATTTTCACGTGTTTTCCGCTTGCAGACTACCTGGTTGGAGCTATCGAGGGCTTTGCACCGTACTACCAAGACCAAATTTGTGACAGACTAGAGAAACTGCTGGCTCCGGGAGGGCGGATCTACCTGGTAGGACTTCAGCCATTGAGCGAGTCTCAAACTCCGGCGGGCTCAAGTGATGCAGAGATTGAGGCAGGCAAGCTGATCCAGGAAGTAGCGCGCACACGTGATGCGTGTCTCCTTCTTGCAGGACGTCGCTGTTACCGCGAGTACCCAATCGAGTGGTCGCAGCGCCAGCTGGAGAAGGTAGGGCTGGAGGTGACCAACAGTGTGCGTCTTACCAATGTGTATGGACGGTCGGCGATCACTCGTCAACTCGAGGTGGGCAGGCGTCATATTCCACTGTTTTGGGACCCGGTATTGGCTGGCCACATGCAACAAGCACTTGACTGCGTGGACGAACGCCTGGAAGAGGAGTTCGGATCTGGCGCACTACCCAAGGAGGAGCAGCGCAGGATACGTTTCGGATTCGACTACGTCATCGCTGCGCGTAAGCCCGCCCAAGCTTAATGTAAGCCGGCATTAAAGAGGACAGCAAGTTGTTGAAGTCAGTACACTTCGCGAGTGTCCTTTTACATGTAGTTTCAATTTTGTCCAATCGCATGGTGTAAAAAGTATCGCTTTGACCCATTTCACAGTTAGATTAAAAACTCGTAGTGATGTCGACGTACGAGAAGACGCTGATCCCGCCGCTTAACTTCTCTATGGTGGCGTCTGGCGTCTACCGCTCGGGCTTCCCTAACAGGAAAAACCATGCTTTCCTCCAGCAACTCGGGCTCAAGTCCGTGCTGTACGTAGAGATTGTTATTGCTAGCAAAATTGTCGCTCAGATGCAACTGCTGCAGATATCTATGCCACCAGGGACATCAACCAGAGAACGTGGCTTTCTTCGAGGAGAATAACATTGAGGTCTTCCAGTGCCCCATCGACGGCAACAAGGTGAGTTTATTGAAATGATAAAGAATTTATGACCCAGCTGACAGAGAGCGAATCCCTTTCAACAGGAACCCTTCATCAGCATTAACCCGGATGCCATGGCTGACGCGTTGCGCCATCTCCTCGGTACAATCGACTGCGGTGAATCTTCTGTATAGTGCTGCTATTAATACTCGACGCTGTTGTCTGCAGATGTGCGAAATCACCCAATCTTGGTCCATTGCACGAAAGGAACGGTGAGTAAAATAAGTGTCAAAGCTTTTACCGGCCAAGGCAACTAATCATCATAATGTCATTGCTGTTACTTGTCGTCCAGCACCGTACAGGCTGTGTGATCGGGTGCATGCGGAAGATGGAGAATTGGTCGCTCACTTCGATCATCGACGAGTACTGCCGCTTCGCTGGGCCTCGCATGCGTCTTTTGGATCAACAGTTCATCGAGTTCTTCACCCCTACAGTTCAGTATGATGAAAGACAGATGCCAAAGTGGCTTTCCTCTAGTGTCTGAGAGGGCACGGCACGGTAAATACAGAGCTAAGCCAGTACATCTTTAGAAACTTGCACCGAAGGGCTTTCTTGTATTTAGCGTCTGACCTCTCTGCATCGGCTTCCGCGTGGACAACTCGAGCCATTCGCTATGAATTCTTTCCATGCTGCAAGTGTTTTTGTAGTTTTTCGCGTCAAGTCATTTCTTTCTGTGCAACATATCACGTTCCCCAGTCCACAATCGCCTCCCGCAGCTTACGCGGACGCCTGGGATTTGTAAGCCGAGCCGTCTGCGAACTTGTCCACCCACTCCTGGTTCTTCAGCGGAGCGCCAGGCCACGCCTTCTGGAAGTAATCCTCGGGCTTGAAGCTAGACGGATCCTCAATGCGCTCCACTAGCTTGTGCTTGAACTTGCGGATCAGACCTTGCACCGGCCAGGCAGCAGCGTCACCCAAAGCGCAAATAGTGTGGCCCTCGATCTGGCGCGAGATTTCCTCCAACATGGGGATTTCCTCGAGCTCGGCGTCACCCGTTTCCATGCGGGTTAGTACCTTCTCCATCCAGCCAGTACCTTCACGGCAAGGCGTGCACTGACCGCAACTCTCGTGCGTGTAGAAATGCGAGTACCGACGAATAGCACCCACCATGTCGACACTCTTGTCAAAAATGGTAACAGCGGCCGTACCCAGACCGGAGCCACCACGCTGCTTCAGATCGTCGTAGTCCATCATAATGTCCTGGCACAGTTCTTCGTCCAGTACAGGCACGGAAGAGCCGCCAGGGATACACGCCTGCAAGTTGTCCCATCCACCACGAACGCCACCACAGTGACGCTCAATCAGGTCACGGAGAGGGATACTCATCTCTTCTTCTACCGTGCACGGGTTGTTGACGTGTCCAGAGATGCAGAAAAGCTTAGTGCCGTGGTTGTTTTTGCGTCCAAGACTCGCGAACCACGAGCCACCGCGACGAAGGATGGTAGGGGACACAGCCACAGTCTCCACGTTCGTCACCGTCGTAGGGCAGCCGTACAGACCCGTGTTGGCCGGGAAAGGAGGTTTGAGGCGGGGCTTTCCCTGGCGGCCCTCCAGACTCTCAAGTAGACCAGTCTCCTCACCGCAAATGTAAGCGCCAGCACCACGGTGCAGATACACGTCGAAGTCGTAACCGGATCCGCAAGCGTTGCGGCCGAGGAATCCGCGTTGATAGGCCTCGTGGATGGCTTCCTGAAGGATCAGGGCTTCGTTGAAAAATTCACCACGGATGTAGACGTAGGCAGCACGGGCGCGCATAGCGAAACCAGCAATAAGACATCCCTCTACGAGCTTGTGCGGGTCCTTACGCATGATCTCGCGATCCTTGCAGGTACCGGGTTCACTTTCATCGGCGTTGACTACCAGGAAGGACGGGCGTCCGTCCGTCTGCTTGGGCATGAAGGACCACTTGAGACCGGAAGGGAAACCGGCGCCACCACGGCCGCGCAGACCTGAGTCCTTGATCTCCTGCACGATCCAGTCCGGACCCATGCACAGAAGGTCCTTGGTGCGGTGCCAGTCTCCACGACGCACTGCGCCGTCCACACGCCAAGTGTCCTCGCCATATACGTTCGTGAAGATGCGGTCCTCGTCCTTGAGGCCGCCGTACACGCGGGCCATAGCGGGCTCCTCAGCCTGTCATAGTCAATACGTAGGTTAGTTAAAGAATCTTTAAAGTGAAATTACAAATAAAATGTGAGGTGCAACACGTACAGCATTGGCCACAGCGGCGCTGGTGCGGAATCCGCGCGCTGTAACCACGTCAAAGGCGGGTTAGCATAAGTACATAAATGCGAAGTGTGGTGCAGGGAGTGATGACCTTGGGAAAGCGTCTTCTGGGCCACGCGAGCGACGCTCTTCATGGTGACTCTGATGCTGCGACCTGAACCAAACTCACGCTGGCCGCACACACGACGTTTGTCCGGATTGGACCCCCAGTTCCCCCTGCGCTCTGGGCCGTACAAATGAAATCCGATTTGACGGGATGTGTGGGCCACATGAAGGAAAGTTGCGTCGTACACAAAAGAAACTTCAACATGTCGACGAAAATATGATATACGCAAGCGCCATTATTAGAAGCGAAGGGCGATGATAAATCCATCCATCGTGTCCGCTTTGGGCTCTGCAATGGACATGCCCGTCGATGCGGCCAGCGTTCTGCGCCGGCGAAACCCTCGGATGAGAGAATTGCCAGCTTCGGCACTTTTTTGGCTTTTGATGTCTGCCGCTCTAAACTTAGAGGTTAAATCTGGTCGTTGCGGTGTGCACCTTCCCACCTCCGACTGATGTGGTGCTTGCCCACTTCCACGCGGCTCCAGCCTTCACACCAACCGTTCCTTCATTCTCGAATCTACTCACTCGCAGAAACTCCAGCTTTTTATCGCAAATGAGGTCAGCTGCGGTCGTGTCGGCGATGGTGTTAGTCGCCGGCGTTGCGGCACAGACCGCATCCACCACATTCCCGGGGCGCTGCGAGACGACAAAAGACTGTGTGGAGACGTACGGGTCCAGCTACGCCTGCGTATCTGTTGATACGAGCGTTGCTGGTTTGGAGCAACTGAGCATGTGCATTCCGGGCGGACAAGTATGCAGTGGTCGTATCGCCGGACTCTGCCCCACTTTCAGCTCCTGGCCATCCAAGTATCGCGTCATTCAGCCAGTCTGCGCCTTCTTGAAGGTCGACAACTGCAACCAGCAGTTCAACGTGACCGTGAAAAGTAGCGCTGGCAGCAATGGCACCGTGGATGATGAAGACGACATCGATGTCAGCAGCAGCAGTGGAAGTGGCAATGGCACCAACAAGGTGGAGTGTTACCAGCGCAACTTCACGGTCAACAACGAGTACGTTGTGGTGAACGGCATCTATCAGTGCCTCGACAAGGCCAAGTACGTCACCAGCAACAGCGGTCACATCAAGAACATCACCGACACGGTAGTGAAGCAATGCGGCTGGAACGCCACGAGCCAGACGCTTTGCAGCGGCCACGGCACTTGCTCGCCGCTCGTGGACTTCGCTCAGGACTACGAATGCAAGTGCAACGCCGGCTACAACTCGTCTGACTTTTGCAACGCTGTGACTTCCAACGAGTGTAGCACTGTCTCTCAGTGCGGAACGAAGGGAACTTGTGGCTTTAAAGACGGGACCACGACGGGTGAGTGCACATGTGCGGCAGGAGCCAAGGGCAATCAGTGCCTGCTGTGCGATGCCTCGGCGAGTTCTGAAGTTGTGTGCAACGAGCACGGCACATGCGGCTCCGACGGTGTCTGCGCTTGCTCTTCAGACTACAATGGCACCTTCTGTAGCGACTCGACTGGAACCAAGGGCTCCTCCTCCTCTCCGTCCGCAGCGACGACAGTGAAGATGGCAATTAGCACCATTGCTACAGCTTTAATTATGGCTGTCTTCGCTTAAGCTTCTACCTTCAAGAACAGTGCAATGGAATGAATTGCTTTACCTGATCACTACACTTTTGGTTTGTCTTTGATGTATGCTACCCACACGGGTACAGCACCAGCCAGACGACTGCACCGCAGGCTGGTGCTTCGTTCCTACTTGTACTTGTCTACTTCTTGTCCATTTGTCATCAACCGCTGGTGGTCTCAAAGCAATAATTGGCAGCAGCTTGCACGTCCCCTTTCTTCTTCTGCAATGCCTCCACTGCCAGCTCTCGAGAGAAGCCCATGTCGAGCAGCTGCTGCACTCGTTTAGACTTGCGGAACCGAATTACAAGCGGGCGAGTCTGAGCCTTAATCATCTTCAGCGCTCGATCCACCTGGTAGTGTTGAAGCGGATGTCCGTTGGCTTGCAGAATGGTGTCGAAAAGACCGATTTGCCCGCACTTCTCGGCGCCGAACATGCCGCCTTTGGCTCCGCGAGGGAAGCTGGTCACACACAACTCGTTGTCTATCTTCTCTAAGTACATACCAAGCAGTAGAGCCTCACCGAAACGCACGTCGTACTCGTCCTCGCCCAATGGAGAATTCATGGAGATCGAGCGAGGACACATGGCAATAGCAGCGGACACCGGCGTGATGTTTTGCGTAATTGAGTCACGGAGACTCAGCTCCTCCAGTTCGATGTCCGCGTTGGTCTCCAGCTCTGTTACTGTGTGTGTTCCGCGTCCGCTGGAAAGCGTTGCCTGCTCTTCATCAACACTGTGAAGCTCCGCATCGTCCAGTCGACGCAACGAAGGCCGTTCCGTATCTGGAGATTCCTCCTGGATGGACGGAGGCATTAAATCTCCTTGCTGGGAGCCAACAGACAAGCTTTTCGGCCGATCCACATTTAGTGAGCCATCATTAACAAAGATGCCCACAGACGAATCCTTGCGTTGGTCAGGGAGTTCATAGAACAGCAGAACTGGCTGGAATCGGCCCTTTAGACACTCTGATACCACGTTACTCCAGGATCCCATCTCGAGCACCCGCGAGTCGTCGAACATCAGCCACATCTTGTGTGCTGTACTGTAGAAGAGAGCCACGTAATGGCGTCCATAGTAGCAGACAAAGCCTCGCAAGCGATATGTTGTACGTAAGCCACCGTTCTTGAAACGGATGACCGGGCCAGCAGCGTCGAAGCACTTGGCCAGATCCAAACGGTCGTCGATGTTCTCCAGCACTCCCTGTACCTGTTCCTTCGTTGCGTTCTGCGTGGCCCATAGAATCGACACTGCAAATACCATGGGGAAGCGGTGGATCACGCGCTCTTTGCCAAGCTTACCTCCACATCCCTTCTGCTCACATTTGGACGCCACGTCCGCTTCCTGAGCTGTAAGTCGGCGGAACATCTGCTCTGTAGACTCGTACTTGCAAGCGTACAAGTCGCTCGCGTACGTTGAGTACACGAGGTTGGAGTACAGATCCCAGGGCGAGCTGTGGTTGCAAGTGCCACACACGTATCTGTCGTAAATCTGGTGTGAGAACACTAGATGTGGGATGCTGTTATCGTCAAAGACAGCCTGTGGCTTCTCCTCGTACGTGTCAGCGCTGACAAGTCTTACCAGCGACTTGACCATTATGGTGGTCTTGTAAGTCTCTTCGATCTCCGTAGCTTCTGTCTGCTGGTGCATCAGATTCAGCAATGCAAGTAGCGTTTCTTCAGCGTCGTACATTGCTCCTTCCTGGAAATTTTTGTCAGCCGAGTAGAGTACACTTAATCCCTTGCGAATAGCACGAGAATGCAGCACTCCACTGGACGTATCGTCGTATTCCATCATGATCGACTTGAGTGCTCGAAGTACGTTCGATTCCACAGAACGCGACTCATCCTTCACCTCCACATGCAGCAAGAAGTGCCGCATAGACGTCAAGTGCCAGAAGCTCTGGATGACGACGTTCAAGAAACAGTTATTCTCTCCAGAAGCGTTTAGCAGTCCGCGGTGCACCGACGCGCCTTTGACCCATAAATTGGCTTCCTTCTTGTCGTTACTGAACAATGTGGTCGCGTCTGAAGGTGAGTCCGAGCTCTGGTCGCTCCCTCCAAGAGACGCCAGTGACGTCGTGTTAGGCGGCCATTCTTCCTCGTCATGACTCGTTAGTACTCGCAGATGATGGATCCAATCACTAGCAGCTGTAGCGGTGGGGCCGTCGATCTCCAGCACTTTATCTGCGTGGTCGTCCACCTGCTTGACACTTACGAGGAAGGCGAAGCGGCGGCCGTCCCAAGGAGCTACGCCCAGCACCTTGTAGCTACGTAGAGGTTTGATCAATCCGGACTGCAGATCGCCCGTGCTGGGTTGAAACTTGAACGTGCTGAGCAGCAGCGTGTCCCGTGTCAGGATGCAGTAGCGCATATGTCGGGGGCGTACATTTACCATACTGCGCGTTTTGAGGTTAAGCCAGCCACGATGAACCACCTCCCCGAAAGCGGACTTGAGGGGTCCATTGTCGCTGGACAGCGGCGTGGGCTCCAAAGCCGTTGGCTGCATGACCGACAGCTTCATGATCGACAGCAAACGTCACATGCAACACAAGAACAAAGGGGACACAACGTCAGGGACGCAGCAACGGAGCAATTTGGTGTGTGTTAAATTGATATAGTTACCGTGAAGGGAGAGGGCGAGGAGTGAGGTGGGGGCTCGGGCACAGCAGACCTTCAGCCTAAACGAGTGCTGCCCTGGAAGCCGTCGCGTCGTAAGTTTAAAAGCGTGGGAAGGATGTTCCGACTTCTTTCAGGCTCAGGTCGACACTGATTGGCGGAAAAAGGTTCAAAGTGTATCCTGAGTGGGCGATGACGTTTGAAAGTCCGTAAACGAGAATGGGAAGGACGATTTATCTCCAGGTATCGGATACAGTATTTTAGAGATTATGAAGGGCTGTCGGAGCTGAGGTGTCGCAATGCGGGGCTGCACAACAGGTCCTGCCTGTTACAGGACGAAGTGGAGGACCGTGCGTCAGTCCACCCTTGTGGTTCTTAGCTCGACGGTATGATTCCCTCCCTACTCGTCCGAGTCTTCGCCATCCGAGTCGCGATCCTCATCGTCCTCCTCCTCGCCTTGAGAAGAAGAGGTCGTAGTGGCACCACGGGTGCGAGTACTGCGGCGCAGACTGGGATGATTATTTTCATGGGGCTGAGAGACAACAATGGTTAGCAATCGTCTTTACTACTGTGTAGACAGTAGAGATGGCTGCTGCAACGTACCGAGTGTCGTATCCGCTTGCTACTACGCGTGGAATTGCTCTCAGCCTTCCGCTTCTTGGCCACTGCCACGCTGTTCCGCGTCGACCGTCGGGGCTGACCTTCTCCTTCCTCCTCCTCCTCCTCGTCTGTTTCGCTCTCAACGTCATTGTCACTCTTTGCGTCGAACGCTTCTTCTTCATCGCCACTTTTATCAGAGTCAGCAACGATGTCCTCCTCCGCATCAATAGTCGCGTAGTTAACCTGTTGCCGGTTGCGCAACGAGCGTCGTCCAATACCTTCCGAGATACCGGACGGATCCAGAACCCCGTTGACAGCAAGCTCACTTTTCCAGCGTTCATTTCGTCTCCGCCTCTCCTGCTGACGCGTGAGCTTCTTGAGGGCACCTTGGGACAGCGTTCGCCACAGCTGCAAGTCTGCCGAGTCAACCGACAGCGACAGTTGTTCTACCAGCGACTCCATAGACTCGAGATCGTTGCATACAGTCTCCCAGTCTACCCCACCAACCTTCGCACACCGACAAATCCACACCGCCGCATTGGGCACCGTCGCAGCATCTTCCAAAATGAAATAGGAGCGACCCGCGGCGTCTGTCCCAACAGGTTCATTTCTCTATTGGCAGCAACGCATGAGTATCAGCACGTAAGGTAGGGCCCCCAAAGAGAATTGCGTATTCGACGTACCATCGACTCTGCTTCTTCGTCATCGATCTGCTCGATGAGAGCTTCGTTACGGTCAAACTGAGCTTCACACAAGAACTTGAGGATCGCCACTCTCTCCGCTACTGGTAGTTCAAAGTAAAACTCTCCGCGCTTTTCGGCTTCAGCACTTGTAGCTGGGTACGTCGAGTCATGTGCAATAGCTGGAGGGTACTCCGCTTCTCGCAGGAAGCGAAATATGTGCACATACCAAGGGTACTTTTTGCTGAATAAGCGAATTAGCTGTAAGTGGAGAGGTTGAACTACATGTTGTATATAGGGTAAAGTACAGCACGTACTTCATGACAACGTTAATGTTGGCCAGCAATCGTGTGTGTAGCTCTTCGCACAATCCGTCCTCCTTCGGCTCCAGCAAGGCGCTGGCTAGACTCTGCAAGCCAATAACGTCAAGTCAAGTTAGCACTGTCTAACGTCATCAACCTTAAGGTGCAGATGCTCACCTCAAGTGTGGTGACGACATTTGACAACTTAAGTCCAAGTCGACGGAAACGTTGCAAGAACAAGAAAACGGCTGCGAAATCACAGTCCGCTTGCAGTTTATGCAGCTTCTGCTTGTTGTCCAGCGGTTTGCACGTTGGGAACGAGACTCCTTCAGGTGCCGCCATGCCGATTAAACTGCTGATATCTTCCCACGCTGTCTCGTCGTAAATGAACTGGCAGCGACGGCAATTCCAGTCTCTCTCGGGTAATTCGCCTTTCAAACCGTAGCACTTCTTGTGGAGTGTCATAGAACAAGTAGCGCAGCGTAGCTCGCAGCGCGTGGCCTCCTCTGTCTTGGCACATTCGCACACGCGACACTCGTCGTTGATGTGAATGTAGCGCTGAACAAAGTTACGGGACGCTCCCACGGGTTTCAATTTCTTCAGCACTACAGTTTTTTCATCGTCTTTGACGTCTACTTCAGTGTCGACGGGTTCCTTCGGTTTGTCGCTGGGTTTCTTTTTTTCTTTAGTGTTGTTGATAGCAGGTTTGAACCATCGATCCAACGTGTTCGCGGGCTTTGCCTTGGGCTTGGGTTTGGAGTTGGTCTTGGTCTTTTTGGTCTTGGCCACACCTTTATCAGATTGCTGATCAGGAAAGATCTTGGGTACTTCAGTGGTCACGGGCATCGTGCCTTTTAGTGCCGCAGCCTCGGCCGTCATCTCGATAACGTTGGCGGCAACAGAGCGCGGCAAAAATGTTGATGTAATGTGGTGTTGTGTACATAATTGTACATTGTTGATGTTTCAGCACACCGTTGTTGTGTGGCGAACACGAAACTCACGAGGCGCCCAGTCAATAAAGAAGGGAGACTGCAGCCAGTAGTGCGACGTGGAGGTCCCCAGGACGTTAGTGGACAAGAAGCTTCGAAAATCCCAAGCCCAGCACGTGGATTTCCCGCCCAATTTGACACCAGAAAGCCGCAGAAAAAACGCTGAAAGCCATGGAAGACGCCAAGCACCTTCACCGTCGCTTGCTTAAGTTCACTCGCGGCGACGTAACGGACCAGGTCGAGGCGCTCGAGGTATTGCGCGGGCTGGAGAAGACTACGGTCACGTATGCCATCCTCAAAGAGACCAAGATGGGCCACACGGTCGGCAAGCTCCGCAAACACGAAAACGAGAAGATCGCGAGTCTCGCGCGACTGCTGGTCAAGTCGTGGAAGAACATGGCGCTGTCCCCTCGCCCATTGGTGTCCGATCCGGAGCGCAAGGCGTCGAGCAGTGGTAACAGTAACAAGACAGAGGTGTCTTCTAAGGTCACCTCAGGCTCAAACGGACTAAAGACGGCTCCAAAGCCCGCAGGAGCTCGGCCTAGCTCCGCACCATTCATTCCCGCGGGTCTGGACAAGGTGCGTGCTACGGTTCGCACTAAACTCAAAGAGATCCTGGAGGCTTCTGAAGGTGGAAACCCGGGCGAAGTCGCTGCTGCTATCGAAGTGGCCATGGCCAGAATCTACCACATGGGAGCTCCTGGAGAGCAGAAGAAGGATTACATGGCCAAATACCGCCAATTATCATTTAATCTGAAGAAGAACGGAGATCTTCGCCAAAACTTGCTGGACGACAGTGTCAGTGGAGATCAACTGATCAAAATGTCCGCTGAAGAGCTGGCGACGGAGGAGAAGCGAGCGCAGATCGAGAAATTACGTGATGACGCGTTCCAAGAGGCTCGATTAGACTGGGCAGAGGCCAACCACGAGAAGATCCAGAAGCAGACCGGTACGGAGGGTACCAAGGGTCTGTTCACGTGTGGACGCTGTAAGTCGTCCAAGACCAGCAACACACAGAAGCAGACGCGTAGTGCCGATGAGCCGATGACAGTATTCGTCATGTGCCATAACTGCGGCAACCGATGGAAATGCTAGTGTAGCCATTGTCGGTCGTGCCGTGCTCCTCCCTCCCACTTAGCCTTCGATTTGTTGCTTCTTTTTCTTGCATTTTTCGAGCCGTGGTACTTCTAAACTTCGCTGCATCACAAACCGTGCAAAAAATGCCACGGCTACGGGAGGGGAGGATGCATATACGTTTGTATGCGCTCACACATGATAGCGCTGCAGTCTGACAACTGTCATGGTGCTGAAAACGTGCCTAGCTTTCCCACTCGATGCGGCAAGCGTATCCGAAAGCTCTACCCGAGTCCACGTCGACGGCTAAAACGTTCTGTTGGCACCAGTTGTGTGTAGATTCTTAATTTGAGCTCGATTCCCTTTAACTTTGCGTTTGATTCTCAGTTTGTCCTTGTGTGCTGAGCAGAAGTATGATACTGGTACAGCTCTCGTAGGAGCCACCGGTGAGCAAGTTGAAGTTGCCATCAAGTCGAGCGTCGTACAGACCGAGCTACGCGTCCCGACGGACAATGGTGGATCCAATCGAGTGGCTGAGCTGGGGCTTTATCGACGGACGAGTTCCAAAGCAAAACAAGTTCTGATGCTGACCATCCAATCCACGAGCGTTTGACAGCTACACCAGAGCATCGCGTGTGCGCCGTGACGATAATCCGGTAATTACTTCAGCCCCTGTAATTCGATATAGCTACATTAGTTTTATAAAATATTACAGCCTCTTTTGATGATTGTATTTGACGCAGCTAAATAAAGTTTTAGAATCGTTTCCACTTCAAGTTTGCACTGGGACGGGCCGCAGGAACGAGGCCCCCAGAGTCATCACTCCCGGTGGGCTCTGGGTGAGTCAGTCTCTCAGTCACCATTTTACAATTCACGTCCAAGCGAGCACGTCGTCGTTCGTGCCAGTCGATGCCCCCGTCACCCTTGCCCTTCTCTTCTAGCCACAGCTGCATGACCGAGAGCTCTGAACGCGATGGGGTCGAAGCATTGAAACGCACCACGTTGCTATCTAACATGCCCGATCGCGACGCAACAAGCAAAGAAGAGAAGACTCTCTTGCTGCCAAAGAACCAACGCGAAGATGAACAGAGTGCTAAGAAACCTGAAGATGCTGCTGGGGCGCAAAGTCGCTCTGTCGTTCTCCGCTATGTACGCTGGGCGATGGAGATCCTCGTGGTGATGACCATAGTGGCCACCGGCTTGAGACTGCTATCGACCAAGACAGCCAATCATGGAGTCAAGAGGGCGCCGTCATTCTCGCTGCACCGCTCTGGTGGGAAGTTGATGCGTGGAGGGCACCGACTGCGCTCGTTCCTCCGCAACATGAAGAGCCACCCGCCAGTATTGAGCGAGCTCCCGTCCGATACCGATATAACACTCGGTGTTGATGTGGAACTGGAGAGAGCGATGGATATCTACTGTCGTGGCCCCCTCCTGCATGCTGTTCAGATGGCCAACGTCTTCTCAGACAGCAAATACTTTGTCGACATGCCCATCAAAGACAACAGCAGCGCTTTCGATATCCTCGTGGATTTCCAGCGTCGTGAATTGGCCATGACTGACTATCAACCGCATACTCACGACACGCACGAGCAACTTCTGCGTCGCTTTATTGACGACCACTTCGACCCTCCAGGTACAGATCTACTGCCGGTCACGCCGTTTGACTTCCAAGGACAATACCACCCGCCGATGGTATCCGACATCCAAGACAAAGAACTCCGAGACTGGGCGTTTGATCTGCATCAAATCTGGCAGACTCTTGGGCGCATTCGCAATTTAAATGTAAAAGGGTCGCTACTTCGATCCCAAAAACTGGACGCACCAAGTTTGAGTCAACCTGCCAACGTACTGATCGTACCTGGTGGACGCTTCCGTGAAAGTTACTACTGGGATTCGTATTGGATCGTGCAAGGACTTTTGGTCAGTGGTATGCCGATCACAGCTCGTGGTATCGTGAACCACTTGCTGGAATACGTAGCTGACTATGGCTTCGTGCCTAATGGTGGGCGGATCTACTACTTGACGCGGTCTCAACCTCCAATGCTCTCAGATATGGTGAAGCTGGTAGCTCGTCTCTCGGTTGATGGCAACGAGACAGAGTACGATGACGAGTATCTACGTGCTGCGTTGCCGATTCTAGAACGTGAGTATGATTTCTGGATGCAACATGGACCTTGTGGCCATGCCGTGGAGTTAACTCGGCGGAATTCGAGTACGACGTACGTGTTGAACCGCTACACGTCCAATGCCAATCAGCCACGACCAGAGTCGTATCGTGAGGATGTGTTGGTCGCTGCCGAGTTTTTCGATCGCACGATGCAAATGGAGGATGGAAACGCTGCGGCCACAGAGCGACACAAGGACAAGTACTACAATAATGTGATTGCTGCAGCCGAGAGCGGCTGGGACTTCAGTAGTCGATGGCTACGAGATCCATTGGACATGAAGTCGATGGTGACCACGTCGGTAGTTCCTGTGGATCTGAACGCGATCATGTACCGGGTAGAACGCAATCTGATGGAGTTTAATCGACACCTGGGTAATGACGTTCGAGCTCAGTTTTTCGAGCGAGCTGCTGCTCGTCGACTGGAAGCTATCGACGCTATTCTCTGGAGCGAGAAACACAAGAGCTGGAAAGATTACGACTTGGAGACGGACACACACTCGACTATTGTCTCGGTGTCCGACTATACTCCGCTATGGGCGAAGGCATTCAACTCGTCCGATATTGATCGTCTCAAGCATGTCGTGACCTCACTCAAGAGCTCTGGGTTACTCCAGGTCGGTGGTGTACAGACCACAACTATTTTCTCTGGGCAGCAATGGGATTCGCCTAATGCGTGGCCGCCGGAGCAAGACATTGTCGTGGAAGGTTTGCTGGCAGTCAACACCACAGAGTCGTACAGTTTGGCCCGTGAGCTGTCACAGACGTGGACGCAGACCAGTTTGACAGCTTGGAGACAGACAGGTTTGATGTTCGAGAAGTACAACGCATCCGAGATCGGCGGCTTGGGCGCTGGTGGTGAATACTTCCCGCAGTTCGGCTTCGGCTGGACGAACGGAGTGATTTTGAAGTTCCTCACGATTCATCAGAATCTGTTGCTAGCAGAGTAGGGGGCATGGGTAGTACATGCAGTAGTAGATTACCAACGGTAGATTGTAGTAATGAACACAAATACAAAAAAGAAAAGCATCATTTAACAGCAAGTACGTGAAGGTGTGTCATACCCGAATATACGCGTATGGTTTCGCCGCTTTCTATTGCGTTGACGTCGTGGCCGACCCTGACGCGCAGTTCATGTAACTCGCTTGCAGCCGAACAGCTGCTCGGTATGTAGACAGGACCTTTGCACAGAACCTAAAGTTTAGTTGGTCGTGGCCGGCGTCGCAGCGGCGAAGACGTAGGGCTTCGCGTTGCGGAAGGTCGACATGTCCCGGATGGAGTTTGCGTGGAACTTGTACTCCACCAGCGTGTTGGAATCAAGCATGAGGATCTCCTTCAGCTTCTCACTATTACAACATATCAAGACGAGATGCTTAGAAACCCACTAGTCAAAGCCCGTAAGGCTCAGCCCAACACGCACCCGATAGCAAAGCGGGTGTTGTCGTCCGAGTTGTCGGCGTTCCAGACAGACAGCATGTCCTCCTTAGAGCGGATCGCCATGGCGATACCCACGACGTCAAGCTGCTCGAAAGCCTCACCAATGGCGGCAAAGACCAGGTCCTGCCACATCTTACCGAGTACGTTGGCTTTCTTCTTGATCTTGAGGATCCAGCAGCCACCCTGAGGGAAAGCCTCCCACATCGGCGCGCAGTTCGGCTGGTCACGGAACAGATAAAGGTTCACATCACGACTCAGCTGCGACGGACGCTTCACGTGGATGTAGTGGCTGGAACCGGCAAGCAAAATAAGAGCATCATCAGCGTCACTCAGCTTCGCCACCCCGAACTCAACGCGTACTCACCGCCAGAAGTCCTCCACCGTGTTGAAATTGGCAATCTTCTGCAAGTTCGACTGGTAAGTTCTGTAGCATACCACAAAAGCACCACCAGTCACCACCAACACGCCTGTCAATTGCAGTAACAGCAACTTACCCCACGTCAATCTTCTTGGGCATCTTCTTGTCGTACCTGTGCGCACAGCATTGACCAACAAACCGCGTCAGTTCGTCTGGACGGACATCATTCTCCGAAGAGCTGCAAGAGAACGCACCAGAGCGACCATCCCGTCTGCAAGGGGTGCTCTTCCTCCTCTCCTTTTTCCACAATGGCAGGCGCGGTCGCCACCTCCTTGTTCGTAACTGAGGTCATGGTCCAGCCGAAGGTGTCGACAACCAGTCGAAACAGAGGCAAAGTGTCACAGTGTCAGGTAGAGATGATGTCAGAGAGGGAATGCAATGAGAGGCGGTGGCACGCAGAGTCAGCGCAGGAAGAGAGAGGCGCCACTTACGCTTCTCACCAGACATCGCACGTGTCCTCTTCAAAACAGCGTTTCGTCGCCAGTGGTGCAAGGTATTGCCTTAATTTATATGGTACTCACTTGGTACTTTTAAAGCTGATATGGAGACACCTTTTTGTCGAATTGATCATGTAAACAGATACATGTACGGTACACGTACCGGTATTTGATGAAATCGCTCACAAAGGAAGTATTGTCAATTTTGCCCAAATCTGCAAAAGTGGCGTCAAAATCGCGATGTGAATCTATCCTTGACTGCAATTGGTCAATATTCAACTAAATTGTCAGATCTACTCAGACTCAGACTCGCATTGGAGCGCACTGGACATAGAGGAAACAGTTACGCGCTAGCACGGGCACGCTAGCACTGTATACCACTGCCTGTATGCTTATATCAAGCTTGGGTACTCCAGAAGCCACCTAGCCCAAATCTTTTAATAAATCAGAGCACACAATCGGCAGCTGGTTGCAAAAAAACAACGAAACCGGGACGTTTGAGCGCACCAGCACCACCAGAGAGTGAAAATACACAGAGGTTCAGTGCATGTGTCTAGAGCTGTCGACGTCTGGTGTATTCGAAGATTTACACCTCGACATCCAGAAATGCAAACGACGTAAAAAATACACCCCTTCGACACCCACCTTTGGGTCACTCTTTCGAATTAAGGTGCTGCTGTTTGTGGAGAGCAACCTCACCAAATGTGGCGTTGTTGCTCATGCTCCATGGCCGTTTGAAGCCCAATTCATCTATTGATACAAGCCCTCAAAGAACGTCCGATGCGCAGGTCGCATAGCAGCAAGCAGGGATTGGCAATATCGGCAGTGCCCAGACATCAATTACTGCTCCGCGCTGGTTTCGTGCACACGAGTGCTTCCTGTCATTTGGTCGGAACAGGTGCACAAGTTTGGCGCCAAATCAATCTGGCTGTACTGAATTGGCGCTGAATGGGTCTAAAATGAACGATGCGCTGGGCGCGGAGTAAACCTTCGTGGCTTGCCAATATCCATGAGGATCTTCTTAGAAGTGGGTCATGCGCATGTAAATATGGCATTTGGCAAGCTGAAAAATGGCAGGTTATGACTGGGCTCTCTCACATAGTTTCGACCAATCACACTACGAGAATCGTATGAGTGTCGGCGTGGTGCAACGCGACATCGAGTGCAAAAGATCAGACGTCCGGCGTCGTCGACGTCGAATCAGTGCCAAGGATCGCGACGTCGACAGCTCTACATGTGGCTGCTTAACTTCTACCAACAGCACCCGCTTTCAACAGCTTTGCACTTCACTCGACTGCTAAATAGAGACCAGACCTTCTGCATTATTTCGTGGAATGGGCTTCCATTAATGACAACGTCATCGAGGACCTCAGCCGAGCTGTCACGTTGAGCAATGGTTGCCTTGCCAATTGGCCGCAGTAGAAGCTGGTAGAGGTGAGCATGACCTACAGGTGCTTGTTCTTCTCCAGTGTGAGATACGTCTTCCAGTACCGTTGCTGCTGCTGTAATGGGCCCAACTCCAATTACATTAAGTAGGTAGATATTTCTTTAGTTATTACATAAGTAGGTAAAGTGGCACACGGGTAGCGTGTGCCAAGGTGTCATCATCTGATTGGTTGATAGTGAGGAGCCAGACTCACTTATTGACCAATCAGATATAGACATGTGTTTGAGTGGTTCACACGAGGCCAAATAAATCAGAGTTGAATTTGACACAAACCTAAGACTTGGTTTTACTATTGCGAGCTTCCCCCACACTATAGTGTAAGCTAGTGACGGTATCTCTTACCCCGTTACACCCGGTAGCACTTAGTAGTCCTTCCAACGACCAAGTCTACGATGAACCAAGTCCAGATCTTCGGGGCGACCCTGGAGCATGCTGCATTCCCCCATCTCACTCGCGTGGAGTGGGAAGCGCTTCACCGCCTCGTGGCGGTGTCCGGAGAGGCTGTTGTCGCATCGCTGCTGAGCTCAGCGACGCCCGACCAGCAACGTCTTGCAGCACAAGAGTTCATGGAACGCGAGCTCGCCGATGCGAATCGGCGGGTGTCAACTCCCTCGCGTCCATCCCAGAATGACGTCGTCAAGATGGAGACGTCTACGTATTCTTGCGCCGGTGAAAACCGGCTCCCGCTAAACCGGTGGCTCCGCGAGATCGACATCGCTATCGCCTCGCGACGCATCGAGGCGTCATCCGCCAAGATAAACTTCCTCCTCTCCCGGTTAACCGGGAAGGCCAAAGAATGGGCCCTCGGGAAGCTGGTTGTCGACCCCGAGGCTTTCCCGACTCTGGAAACTCTCCAGAGCGACTTGCGCCTCGCGTTCGAGCCCCCGCAAGATGAGTCTCGCGTTCGCGCAGAGTTCTTCGCTCTTCGGCAAGGGCAGATGTCCATGCGTGATTACGTCCAGAAGACGCGACATCTGGCGTCATGCATCGTGACCAAGCCAATCGACATGGCCTCGCAAGTCCACGTATTCGTGTTCGGCATGCGCGAGGGTATGACCCGCTACTGCCTCACCAGAGCTGAGCCCTCCTCTCTCGAGGAGACGTTTGCACTCGCGATTCGCGAGGATTACATGGTAGCTGCATCGTACGCCGCAGCCATACCTGCGGAAGCCCGGGAGTCTACCCCCGAGCCCATGGAGATCGACGCCATCAACGCGTCGAGCAATCGACGTCGCGGGTCCTACCGCGGCAGCTCTGGGCGAAGCAATCGCTCCCTCATTTGCTTCCGCTGTGGGAAGAAGGGTCATCGCGCGGCGTAGTGCCGCGCGCCAGCTCCCGTCGTCTCTCACGTCGACGCGGAACACTCCTCGGTCGCTCATTCAAAAAACGACCAGGACCAGTAGGTGCGGGGCGCCCTACTGGCTTTAACGAAGGACCGGGCCCTCCGGTGGCAGCCCAACCTTCGAGCCCTCCCGTGCTCCAAGCACACACCAATGCCACCACTACGCCGGGCGACTCGAGACTGATCATTGTCAGCCTCCACGTCACCGGTGCCCGGCGACCACTGCGCGCGCTCCTTGACTCAGGAGCGACCAACAACTTCTTTCGCGCGTCGTGTTTGTCGGTACTACCCAAGAACGTCCGCGTCCGGAATGGTCCGGGCGAGATCCAAGTCAAACTCGCAGATGGTAAGGCTCGCCGCGTTGCGCGGCGTGACGTGTCTTTGTCGTACACGTTCGACGGCTTCCGTAGCAAGGACGACTTCTTGGTGATCGAGATGAACTACGCGTTTGACTGCATCCTGGGCATCCCTTGGCTTGCGCGATATCAGCCAGAGATTGACTGGCTGGCCCAATCAGTCAAGCGTCGACGTGGATTCGACGTGAGCGAGGTCTTCACACACCTCTTGGTGGCGCCAAGAGACTGGCCCCACGTCACAGTCGTCGACAAAACAGCAACGACACAAGCAGTGCACAGAGCGAGCGATGGCCCTCTCTGCATGGCTTGTGCTACGTTGTTGAACGAAGAGCCCTCGCGGTTTCGCGAGGTAGATGATGAGGTGGTTGAGCAGCGGCTCTCACAGTACAAGACGGTGGTCGAGCAGGGGCTCCCACAACACGAGATGATGGTCGAGCAGGGGCTCCCACAACACGAGACAGTGGTCGAGCAGGGGCTCCCACACAACGAGACGGCGGTAGAGCAGAGGTTCCCGCCGAACGATTCGGCGGTCGAGCAGATTGGGCTCCCGTCAAACGATGCCCGTGGTTGAGCAGGGGCTCCCGCGTGTTCCCGGCCCGGTCGAGTACGGTCTCCCGCGCCTAGAGGAGGGTGATGCATCGTCGAGTAGCAGGGCGTCAGACTCGAGCGTAAGCTCGAGAAAGTCGAAGAAGAAGTCGAAGAGACGACGCCTGAAACCTCGTCGAGACTCCACGACCAGCGATAGCCCGCCGATGGAATCGGTCAGCGCGCTGGAGTACGTCGAAGGAGGCCCGAATCGGTCGCGCAGCATCGCAATCGCGAGCCCGCCGCGCGAAGCGGCGGCGATCACACGCCTTCCAGGCTTGTCCTGGAAGAGCTTTCTTTGGGACCTCAAGGCTGGAGACGTCGAGCAAGTATGCTTGGTCACCGAGGCAGTCTCGGTGGATGAGTCAGCAAATGCGGTCGCAACGGACAGTGAACGTTTACGTTCGCTAGGTGCTGAACCTAAGTCTGCTCGAGAGGAACGATTTCAAACGCAGTCTTGGGAGGCCTTGCGGGAGTCAGCGAATCCCGTATACAACACCGCCTGCGAGTACGCCGACGTCTTCCCGGATGAGATCCCCGCCGAGCTACCGGCGGATCGTGGGGTTCAGCATGAGATCGACCTCGCGCCAGGTACGAAGTACTGCGTCACCAGAAAATGGCCATTTCCTCGTGATCAAGTGAAATCGATCGATTACTTCTTCGAGGGCCGCCGAAAGGCGGGTCACGTGCGTGAGAGTACCTCTCCCCATTCCAGTCCAACGTTCTGTGTGAAGAAAGCTACAGGAGGATGGCGTATTGTTCACGCATTCAACAAGTTGAATGATGCCACCATCCCCGCGCAGACTCCGATCTCTCGGAAGGACATGGTACTGGACTCCATGGCTGGCAGCGTCATCTACAGCGCCATCGACCTGACCGATGGATTCTATCAGATCCTGATGAGATCATCCGATGTGCCTCTCACCGCCGTAAGTACACCGAGCGGGATGCTCTGGGAGTGGCTCGTGATGCCACAGGGTCTCAAGAACGCGCCTGCCACCTTCAATCGCATGGTCTCCCATGTGCTTCGCCCGCTTCGAGACTTCGCGCCGACTTACTTCGACGACATCTTCGTGCACAGCCGCGCTGAGGGCAACCTCAGTGCCGTGGGCGTACATCTGAAACACCTGAGTCAAGTCATCCAGGTTATGCGAGAGAACAAGCTCTACGCAAACCTGAAGAAATGTGTCTTCTGCGCACCGGAGATTCCGGTGCTGGGATGCTACGTGAGCAAGAATGGTGTGCGCGCGGATCCCGAGAAGGTATCGTCTATCTGTGCTTGGCCAACGCCGACAAGCCCCACTGAGTTGCGTCAGTGGCTTGGCATGGCCAATTACTTGCATAAGTACACGAAGAATTACGCTGGGTTGATCCAGCCGCTGTCCTCGCTGCTGAAGAAAGACGTGATCTGGGAGTGGAAATCGGACCACCAAGCTGCATTCGACTCGGTGAAGAAGAGCTTGGCGTCTGCGCGATCCTGAAGCTTGCTGATGACTCAAAGCCATTCCACGTCGTCTGCGACGCGAGCGATTTTGCCATCGGCTGTGCGCTGATGCAGTTCGATGATGACGAACACGAACGCGTTATCAGCTATCAGTCGCGCCAACTGAAGCCAGCCGAGAAGAATTACCCAGTCCACGACAAGGAGCTCCTGGCAATGCGGTACGCTCTGATCAAATTCAGAGTGTACTTGTGAACAGTCATTTGCTGTTTACACTGATCACGCATCGCTGCGGACAGCGATGAAGAGCCCTCACTTGTCGGAACGGATGGCCCGTTGGCTGTCCTTCTTCTCCGAGTACAACTTCGTTGTTCACTACAAGCCGGGCAAGAATAACATTCTCGCCGACGCGCTGTCTCGGCGTCCGGACTACGACCCCCGTGAAGCGCTAGGACATCAGCTCGCTGATGAGGACCACGACGAATGTGCGGTCTGCGTGTCGTCAGGCATCAACTTGACGTTGACCACGCCCACGCTCCCGCTGGGCGAC